TCATTTTGCCCATGGCCTTCATCGATTTGTATTTGCATCATTATGCTGGTGTTGGTTCCTAATTCATTACCCTCTCTCTTTTCTTTTATTCCCGTTAAACAGTTGGCCATTCTAATCGCTTATTTACTCTCAAATTTATACTTTTGTATTACATGTTAGTACTTTCTGAATGTAGTACTCTCTGAATGTGTTAATTGGATACTAGTAAGTAGTAACCAAAGGTGATAGTTTTAACATGTAATAGTTCTTTCATGGGTTACATCTCTATGTACAGCATGAAAACCAACATGCAGCCATAGCTTCCATCGTTATAGTTAGAACTATCTTGATCTTTTTTGTAATGATCTAAATTTACTTTTATCAGTTATACACTTTTCAATATGGATGGCCGTAAAGTTCCTCAAGAGATGGTTGTTGCAGTTGGAGATGTATTCAAGAGAATACTCAAAAAGGTATTGTATTAAATACATGACCAGAGTTTATCTTGGCTATTAGTGAGTATTCTAATGTCATGAGAGAATCCTTTCTTTTTATTCCTCTAGACTGAGAAAGTAAGGGATGAACACTCCAAAGACATGTCAGTCCATAAAGCAATATCAATTGTGTTAGATAGGCACCCTGAGTTAAGGTATTTGTATTTCGCATCCCTATCTCACCGCCTTATTGATAAACCTGGCTTTACTTTGTGTCATTGACAATTTGACGTATCCTAATTTTTTATAGACAAGAAGGACTTGCCTATGAAGTGATGCAGTGGTACATATGTCGAATGGAAGCATGGTTTGCTGCAGATGCAGATATGATATCCTTGAAATGTTGGGATCAGGCAAGTATAAGTAGTGTAACCGCCATACTCTATTATTTTGATGTTCTTGGTGAAAACTTGATATTTTTGTTTATTGATGTAGTGTAACTATTACTTATAAACATGATAACAATCTTCAACTTTGCTTGTAAGCTAGTTGTTAAGTTGGAATGAGTTGCAAAAACAACTAATTATTTGTGGAGAGTTACCTTATAATTGCATATTATTAACAATATTAAACTTAGTGGGTGATGCTCTTTTTCATATGCTTGTTATTTTAGGAAATTTTGATTTTGTTTTCTTTTTTCTCTTGGTGTTTGTGTCCTCATTGAAAATCTACAGTACAGAACTTTTAAGGAGAGGTTATTTCTATATTACCTTAAAATACCTTGTTGTGGCTGATTTTTACTTTGCAGGAACATGTTCTTTTGGGTGGTCATGGACTTATGGTGCAGGGTTATGATCCTATAATAAAAGAGCTTGCTAAAGATATTGACGTATGCTTGAATCACAGGTAATGCTTGGTACATCAAAATGGTTCACTTTCGTTAAATGTTTTAATGCGTCTAAAAGAATAGTGCGCTCCTCATACCAAAGAGATTTAGTCTAGAGACAAAGCGTATAACTCTGCTTGAGACTCTTTTACTAGTACAATATTAGATTCAGCGTTTTCTCATATTAATTACCAACAGAGTTTATTATGTAGTTTGGTGCCGAAGATATGGTCATCTGTTTGACTTGGCACCTGAATATAAAAATGTGCAATACAGTACTTGAACTTTACTTCTACATTGCATCCACCATTGGTGGTGAGGTATGGCATATCCTCAACCTACTCGATTACTTGATAACGATGTGGTGAAGATGTAACAATGCAATGCTTAATCTTTGCTGGAGTTATTTAATATGTAATCTGGTAGACAAGCAAAATTTGAGGACTTTATTGCACATTTTTAAACTTTAGGTGCAAAACCTCATTTAGCTATATAGTTCAGGTCCCAAAAACGCAGTTAATTTTGTTGCATACTTGAGCAGCTGTGATCTCCACATGCATAGCTCAGCATGTTAATTTTGTTGTTGGGAATTGTAAATATCTTCATGTAGCCATATAGAATGGCCCTTTGTTCCTTTAAACATGAAAATTAAGGAATGGAACTTGTTTATGGTGCTTATCAGGCAACAAAGTTTCTGATTCTTTTGTGGATGTTCATGAGTAGGGTCACTAAAATATCCCAAGAATACAATAAGGTGGTGGTCGATATTGAGGACGGGATGAGCCTCATCGCTGACGCTGCTATAGTAACCGTTCCCCTCGGGGTTCTTAAAGCCAATTTGATTCAGTTCGAACCGAAATTGCCAGAGTGGAAGGTTGCTGCCATTTCCGAAATCGGTGTTGGTAACGAAAACAAGATCGCCTTACTATTTGAGCGAGTCTTTTGGCCGAATGTTGAGCTGCTAGGCATTGTTGCACCCACTTCTTATTCTTGTGGTTATTTTCTCAATCTTCACAAAGCAACAGGCCATCCTGTTCTCGTCTATATGGCCGCCGGAAGATTTGCTGATGATCTTGAGAAGTTTTCTGATGAGTACGCCGCCAATTTTGTGATGTTGCAGTTGAAGAAAATGTTTTCCGATGCACCCGATCCGGTAAGTTTGATCATTTTCAGCTGCTAACTTATACATTAACCAGACATATCCTATACTAGACCAAGGTTGTTTTAAGGAATCACTAATGCTAATCTTACCCGGTTCGTCTTGTCGTTCTAGTTTCCTCTATTATTCATCATGGTTTGCGTGTCTCCTAAGAAAGGCATGAGCTGATATCCGAATTCGGTAAAATGCTAAAACAGGTGCAGTATCTCGTGTCCCATTGGGGAACAGATCGAGACTCCCTCGGCTGTTATTCATATGATCCGGTTGGGATGGCAGGAGATTTGTATCAGAAGCTTAAAGCACCTTTCGGTAATCTCTTCTTTGGAGGGGAAGCAGTCAGCGAGGAACACTCGGGGTCGGTGCACGGAGCCTACTCTTCCGGAGTCACGGCTGCTCGAAACTGCGAGAGCCATCTCTTACAGAGATTAGGTAACTTCAAAAGAAGGCTCCAGCTGATCTTTAGGGATAATGATGCATTATTAGAGCCCACATTTCCCCTCCAGATTTCAAGGATTTGAACCTTTGTCTTCTTTTACCTTTTCACAAGACTTGTGTGAGTCCATGTGAACTCTTATTTCCTTTGGAGAAAGTATCTATGTAGCAAAAGTTATTTAAAAATGCCCTGCATCAATGCTTTAATCCTCCTTTCTCAAGTTTGAGATATAAAATAAGATTCATATATAATTCAAATAACTCGAATTTGTCAATAATTAATATATTGATTTTTAAGTTTGAGTCGAGTCTCTGAGTGATGTATATATATTATATATATACGGTTATAGAAAGTTATTTAAATTAAAATCAATTATTATCTCTAAGCTTAAGAGTCTCGAGTTCAAAAGTTGGGTCTACTAGGTATGTGCACGATCATTGCCAATTGATTAAGAAAATTTTGAACAAATATTTCTTTGTAAGCACCCATATTAATAAAAAATAGAATCGATTAATATCATAACATTATAAAATATTTATAATTAAATTTAAACCAAAACTCGAACAATTTAACTTGAATAAATATTAAATCAACTCAATCAACTCAAGATCTTTCAACTTGGCCCGATTAAATATTCACCTTAATTAGGATTACAAGCAAAAAAAATAAAAATAAAAATAGGAAAGTCCTCGTGGAAGCAGATTTATGCCTAATGAAATAGTACAAGTCATGAGGCCCAGAAATAGCAAAAGCCCATGTTTCCTTCACATCGATTCGTTAAGTCAAATAAATTATAGTGACCAAAATTTGTGTTTTTTTACCGAAATATCATTTGACACGTAATAATTACATGTCAGACACGTTTTCTTTAAATTTTACAGATTTAACATCCTTTTTGATAAGACGCAGATGACATCATAAAAAGCGCGGATGATCATCTGCGCCTTATCCGAGCTAGCGCCACATAGGGACAGGCGCGGATCATCATCTACGCCTTTGTGGGTTTTGTCCGAGCCGACACCATGTAATTTAATACATATTAAATCTGCTTTAAAAAATTAAAAAAATAAAACTAAACATTGTAATTTAATACATATTAGTTCCATGAGTTGAAGAGCTTAATTGGGTTAGCTTATATAGACATATTGGAGTGCTTATGTTATGTTTTTTGACAATGTGAGATATCTAGATTAACTTAATGACCCTCTTAGAGATATTGTGATAACTCCAAATTTACTCTTGGGGTGTGTTTGGTTGGGGCAATGTGAGATTCCCATGGGAATGAAATTCACATTCTCATGTTTGGTTGGCCGGGAATGTCATTCCCGGTAATCTTACATTATCAATAGTGAATTTTTTTGGGGTATATTACCGAGAATGTCATTACTTCCTTTTCCTTAGGTATTGTTGGATTACCGGCGTTTTGGACTAAAATACCCTTAAATTTTTTTTTCTTTCAAAAATATTTTTATTCTGTCATTAAATAATAAAAATTCTACGAAGGTTAAATTACAAATTTCTCCTTAAACTATTTTATATTTACAAAAAAAACTATAATTAAAATTATATATGAAGTTCAAGGGTTAAAATAAAATTTTAACTTTTCATTAAACTTTTTATATTTTAAATTTTGTAAAAAAAAATTATATAAATTTTATGAATTTAAATTTTTTAAAGAAAATATATAAATATTTTCCAACTTGTTAAAAAAATAAATATATAATAAGGACAATTTGATCAAATATACATTCCAATAACCTTTTATTCCTTTAACCAAATACGGTAATCGTACATTCTTGCTAAACCAACCAAACACAAACTACAACATTCACAGTATTCTTATTCCCTGATAATCTTTTACTCTCACTGATAATCTTACATTCCGTGAACGAAACGCACCCTTGTTGTTTTGAAATTAAATGAACCACAGATCATTAGTGTGCTGCATTTTCCTTCACGATGAGTTCATGTCTTGGTATCAATAATAACAAGCATAACACCAATGCTTTCAGAAATGTCCAATAACTGACTACAAGTACCTGGGGTTCAAAATCGTGAGTTAGGAGAATATTCTTGGGCCGCTGCTATACAACCAGCTCTACAATCTTCATGAAGGTATCGCAAGCCTCGTGCTGCTCCAATTGCTATTCTTAGTCGTGATTGCCAATCTAGAGAGGCTCTACCGCTTCCTGTCAACCAGATGTAACTAATATCATTTTGGATGACAGAGGTTCTAACTGGAAATAGAAAAGAGAAAATAATCTCAGTGACCGAAAATACATTGTAATATACGATTTTGATCAACTTTTTTTGGATTTGCCAAAATGACCAAGTAAATCGCAATGCGATCGATAATTCGCAACGCGATCTCTGGTATCGCAAATCAGTTTCCAGATTCGCAACGCGATAGTCGAAGTTCACATTGCGATTTATTCCAAATTCGTTGCGATAGGCGAAGTTCGCGTTGCGATTCATTCCAATTCGTTGCGACAGGCGAAGTTCGCATTTCGATTCATTCCAATTCGTTGCGACAGGCGAAGTTCGCGTTGCGATTCATTCCAAATTCGTTGCGACAGGCGAAGTTCGCATTGCGATTCATTCCAATTCGTTGCGACATGCGAAGTTCACATTGCGATTCATTCCAATTCGTTACGACAGGCGAAGTTCGCGTTGCGATTCATTCCAAATTCGTTGCGACACGCGAAGTTCGCATTGCGATTCATTCCAATTCGTTGCGACAGGCGAAGTTCGCATTGCGATTCATTCCAATTTGTTGCGACAGGCGAAGTTCGCGTTGCGATTCATTCCAAATTCGTTGCGACAGGCGAAGTTCGCGTTGCGATTCATTCCAAATTCGTTGCGATAGTCCAAATATTGCATTTGTTTCTTAAGAATTTTCTCTAAAAAGATAGAATTCGCGCGGACGTGTCGAAGACACGTATTACCACGACCACGACCACGACCCGAGACGGGACGGCAGCGGCGGCGGCGGGCGAGTGTCCCCCTTATTCTCTATCACTCAACAAAGAAGTGAGACAGCCAAGCCTTAAATACCATTCCCAATAGTGTTTCCAATACTATGTGGGATTGAGCATTACCAACACTTGTTTCCAATACCATTACCTTCATTGTCTGTAAGAGTTTAATTTTGAAACTAAAAAATATTTATTCGAATAAATAACTTATCCTTTGAGGACTTTGATGGAAGAAAAATATTAACCAAACAAATGCAAAGGAGACGATGATGAAAGTTTTCAACTGAGGATGCTACGAAAACTAGCTGATAATGACACAAAAGAAACATATCGAGTTGTTTGGTCATCATCTACTCTTTGCAAGTAAGTCATTTGAACACTATAAGAACCCGAATCAGAGTTAGTTTTAGCAATTATTTTATTTATGATCAAAGTCCTCAAAGGGTAAGTTATTTATTCGAATAAATATTTTTTTAGTTTCAAAATTAAACTCTTACAACAGTGAAGGTAATGGTATTGGAAATAAGTGTTGATAATGCTCAATCCTACATAGTATTGGAAGCACTATTGAGAATGTTATTTAAGGCTTGGCTTTCACACTTCCTTGCTGAGTGATAGAGAACAAGGGGAACTCTCGCGCGCCGCCGCCGCCGTCCCGTCCCGTCTCGGGTCGTGGTCGTGGTAATACGTGTCTTCGACACGTCCGCGCGAAATCTATCTTTTTAGAGAAAATTCTTAAGAAACAAATGCAATATTTGGACTATCGCAACGAATTTGGAATGAATCGCAACGCGAACTTCGCCTGTCGCAACGAATTGGAATGAATCGCAATGCGAACTTCGCCTGTCGCAAATAATTGGAATGAATCGCAATGCGAACTTCGCATGTCACAACGAATTTGGAATGAATCGCAACGTGAACTTCGCCTATCGCAACGAATCGCGTTGCAAATCTGGAAACTGATTTGCGATACCGGAGATCGCGTTGCGAATTATCGATCGCATTGCGATTTACTTGGTCATTTTGGCAAATCTAAAAAAAATTGGTCAAAATCGTATATTACAAGGCATTTTCGGTCACTGAGGTTATTTTCTCAATAGAGAGAAAATGAATACCATGTAAATGGAAATCTAAGGATCCATTGCAGATGTACTCATAAACCAAGACTCTCTTATTACCGTCAATACAAAATCCAATTAGTTAACCCCAATATCTTACATTGTCAAGAGTAAATTTAGAGTTATCACACGATTTCTAACGGGACTATTAAGTTAATCTCAATATTTCACATTGTCAAGAAATATAACATAAACACTTTAATATGCCTATATAAGCTAACATAGTTAAACTCTTCAACTCATGGAACTAATATGTATTAAATTACGATGTTAGTTCATATAGTTTTATTTTTTTATTTTTTTAATTTTTTAAAGTATATTTTTTTAAAATGCTATGACGCGGATGGTGATCTACGTCTATCCCTATGTGACGCCAGCTCGGATAAGGTGCGGATGGACGTGCCAGCTCGAACAAAACCCTGCAAAGGCTAAATTTTGAAGAAAGGGTACCTGATAGGTAATTATTACTTCTCAGGATGATATTTTTGGTTAAAAAAAACTTTAAATTTGTTTGCTGGTGTTCTTATAGAATTTTGGGTAAATCATTTAGTACTTAAACTACTATCGATTTTGGTTTATTCTAGTATCTAAACTATAAATTTTTCATGATCATACATAATATTTAGTTTTCATTTCATTTTAATATCTTGTCGATAAAAATTTAACGCATTTAATACATAAACTATCAGTTTTGATCCGTTTTAGTACATAAACTTTTAATCTTTTCAAAACTTAACATTAAATTTAGAATGGAGTACTAAAATAAAACAAAAAATAAAAAATTTAATGACATGATTAAAATAAAATAAAAACTAAATGTTAATTGTGTTTTTAAAAATATAAAAATTTAAATACCCAAATTAATCAAAATTAATAATTTAATTATTAAATACATATTTTATCTTATAATTTATCACACAATCACATCCGCGTCCACTACATTCGACGATCTGGCAATGGCGTTGCACACGGTATTGCATATTATGCCTCCATTATTTTCATGTTGTTATATTTTGAATACGAATCATACGATTATGGATGCGTTTAGTAATGTTCTATAAAAGAGTTTTTAGTTAAAATATTCGTTTTGATCGTAAAATCAATATCAAACGAGTAAAAATAAAAGAATTTAGTAAAAACGGTATGGTTTGAAATCAACCGCACAAAGTTTAGATTTTTAACTTTTTCATCTTTAATTTTGTGTTTGGAATCAAATTATAATTTTAATCTTACTAATGTATGGACTATACTCAATTATGTATTTATATTTTATTTTAATAATTTAATACCACCTTTAAAAATAGTTTATTACTTAGTAATTTATTTTAATTACTTACTTATAAAATATATTTTTGTTATAGTTTAAGGTGATATATTTTATATATTATAATATTAATAAGTGTAAATATAATTTAAATTTTATATTTTTAATATACAACATAATGTCTATAATAAATATTCAACGCCGAATCAAATTTATTTTCCTAATAAACATCAGATTATGCAAAACAATGCTTATAAAAAAGCATATTATGTTATTGTTACGTACCATTCTCCCTCGTTCTCTGAATATATTTCTTTCAACATGGTAATAAGACCTGATATCATCGTGTTTGTCTTATGGGGGCTGCTGCTTGTAGTGATGTTATTATCGACAATAATACGTTGTTGCTGCAATGACGTGAGTCGGGATCTCGAAGCCGGACTGGCGAGCTACTCGGTACGAGGTGACCGAGCCGTGCAGGCTTCAAGACCGAGCGCGTTCGGTATAAGGGTGGGGAGGAAACCGAATCGAGTTGCGTCGAGTTGGATTAATAAAATAAAATAATTTTCAATATATTTATGTTCTAAATAAATAATAATAATTCAAACATCAATTAAACTCATAATTAATATAGATGAGATTGATATTGTTTAATATTTAAAGTTATTTTTAAAAATAATATAATAAAAATTTATTTAAAACATCTATTTTTCTAAATTGGCTCCAATTACAATGTGCCACGTAACCAAACACGATGGGTCTAAATTCCTGCAAATCCCAGATCGGTCCAAAAAGTTCAACCTGGTGGTCGGTGGAGTACTGCGTGTGTACAAAAAAAAAGCAAACAATATATATATAATTGTATATAACGTAAAATAAAAATAAATTAAAGGAACTAACAGCGAAGTCAGGCTCCGGTTTTCATCCTACGCGAAGCTCAGTTGGCATCTTTCGGCGGCTCCACCGTCTCAGATCTCCGGTCCAGCTATAACGCTGACTCTCTTACTGGGCTGATCCAACTATAAGTGATTGCTCCACTTAATCGGCCGCTAATTCCAGGTGATTTATTTTATAAAATCTTGTTTGGTTTTCGCTTTTATGTGGTTCTAGTTGTAGCCTTCGATTAACATGCGCGCGGATTAGGGACACTAATTAATTTTATGGATATGCGAAGTTTGTTTTTGGGGAAATTATGATCAAAGGAAATGAGATTTTGAGTTAAGACTGTCGAATTTGACCTTATGAGTTATAGTTTTGTTTGGTGAGTGGTTGATCTGCTTGATTTTAATGGTTGGACTTATATTGACTATAGCGTCTAAGCTGGAGGAGTGTTCACTTTTGTACTGGGAAGTGCTTATGGAATGGAATTTTTGATCATATCTGGATTTGGAACTACTTTGGAACTGAATTATTGCGCTGGGAAACTTTTAGGTGAAAAGTCTGGTGAAATTGGAGATTTGTTTGTTTGTTTTACTAGCAGTTGCAGCAGCTAATTAGCCTTACCAAACTTTTGCACAATAAGTTTTCATGCATGTGCAATTGCAAGTTGGTTCCGAGTATAAATTTCCCGTGATTTAATTGAATGTTTGCCTATGCCAGGCTGCATTTTGATGACCAAATGAAAGGTCTAATTCACCATGACATACTTATCATTCTTTGCTTCCCTTTTTTTGGGGTGGGGGGGGGGTGCTTGGGGTTTCTTTCAACATGCCATATTTAATATCTTGAATGGGAGTCTTCAAAAGATAAGGGAGATTCCTTTTGAGCAAGCTATTTATTTAAAGACAAAGAATAGATGAAGAAACTATGTTATGTGGTTTAGAAGGCTAAAGATACCCCTCGCATGAACATTTGGTAAGAGAAAATTCAAATATTTTTGTTTATATCTAGACCTCAAACTCACACACAACAGAAAAATAATTGCATTTTGCATCTGGATTTTGTCCTATAAATTATTTTTATCCATCCATCACCTTTTGTTCTTCCTATATGTGCTTTGACCTGACAATTTTGAATACTGTATGAAATGTTACACAACCACAAAATGTCTAATGGACATGAAAACTGGTAATGAACACAATATACTTTCAAACACAATTAATTTGTCACGGTTACTTCATTTTTCCTATTCATGTTTATGATTTAAACACATTCTATAAATTTTGTTTTCTTTGGGTTTACACTTTTCAAACAGAGAAAAGAATGATACAAAACACACATACAAGGGATTTCTAGATGATTTGTAACTTTGATACCCTAATTTGCATACTCTGTTCCTGCAATGCATGTAAAACATGGTGGTGGTTATTTTTTTATTTCCTTTTTATTTAACGAGAAAAAGTGAATTATCTTTTAACATTTATACTTATATGCTTCCTTTTCTATATTTGCATTTTTCAAATTAGAGATAACTGTCAAGGATTAAGTCATGAGTTGCTTTGACTGTTGTGAAGAAGATGATATCCACAAAGCCACAGACAATGGAGGCCAATATGTGGTTAAAAATTCAGCAGGTAATCCTTTGGTAGAAATTTGCATCAGCTTCTTTGTGAACTTCACTTACATATTTCTGCACCTTCACTACGTGAAATAGTTGAATCAAGCATAGTAAGTAGGATGGCATGAGATTCTTTGGTGCTTATACTCGTAGTCAGTTGTAGTTTAATTATTATTTAGCCTTAATTTTATGTCTGATTTGTACTAAAATGATATACACACACACAAAGCACATGCTATTTTTTAGAACCTAATTTAGTTTACCACTTGATACGTATTTGACTATCTTTTGCATGTTATGGATGGCTATGCTGTTTGTTCTTTTTACTGAATCTGTTTTTCTAATCTGGGTTGAATTTTTCCACAGGAAATGATGGAGGTTACCATACATCTGAAACTGCATCGAAGAGTGCTCAAATGGTGAAGGTTCAGCCTATTGAAGTCCCTGTTATCCCTGCAGATGAATTAAGGGAAATCACAGATAGCTATGGCACCAATGTTTTGATTGGAGAAGGTTCATATGGTCGAGTTTATTATGGAGTTCTGAAAAGTGGGCAGGCTGCAGCAATAAAAAAGTTAGATGCCAGCAAGCAACCTGATGATGAGTTTTTAGCTCAGGTACAGTTGACAACCAAAATTATTTGCATTTACCACATCTGATGTAAATTTTGAGCTTCATATTTATATCCATTGATGAATGGAGTTTCAGGTTTCCATGGTATCAAGGTTGAAGTATGAAAACTTTGTTCAATTGCTTGGTTACTGTGTTGATGGGAGCTCTCGTATACTTGCCTATGAGTTTGCATCTAATGGTTCCCTGCATGATATTCTTCACGGTATGTGTGATGATGCTTTGTTTATTGCTCCAGCTATTCAAAGTTGAAAACCATATACAGGAATGCAATGATGCTTGAAGGAAGGATCTTCTCGTGATGCTATTATAAACTTTAATTATAAAGTTCCTTCTATGGAAATGAAATATCCGGTTTGTAACTTTTATGTTGTGCTGTTAATATTGCAAGATTTTTATTTCTTTAATGCCAGGGAGAAAAGGTGTCAAGGGAGCTCAGCCAGGCCCTGTTCTGACATGGGCACAAAGAGTAAAAATTTCTGTAGGAGCTGCGAAAGGGCTTGAGTACTTGCATGAGAAGGCTAATCCTCACATCATTCATCGCGACATAAAGTCCAGCAATGTGCTAATATTTGATGATGATGTGGCGAAGATTGCAGACTTTGATTTATCTAATCAGGCTCCTGATATGGCAGCCCGTCTTCATTCCACTCGTGTACTTGGAACCTTTGGTTATCATGCTCCCGAGTAAGTTATTTGAACAAACTTAGTTGCTGAATCAATAGTGAATTGATATTTTTAACCTAGAATAGGGTAGACTTTTATTTAATAACTGAGATGTTTTAGGGAACAAGCATATGATATCCATAATTTCTTCTCTTATAGAGCTTGATTTAAGATTGAATACCTTGAAAATTGACTGTTCGTTGGCAGATATGCAATGACTGGGCAATTAAATGCCAAGAGTGATGTATACAGCTTTGGTGTCGTGCTGCTGGAGCTTTTGACTGGTAGAAAGCCTGTTGATCATACATTACCTCGTGGGCAGCAAAGTCTTGTGACATGGGTACTTTTCTGCAACTTGTTTTTGTAAATCCAGCCTCAATTTCGTTGTTAAACTTTTCAGACATGGCTGATTAATGAGAGGTTTGAATTGCATTTAGGCTACACCGAGACTTAGTGAAGACAAGGTTAGGCAGTGTGTTGATCAAAGACTAGGAGGAGATTATCCTCCAAAGGCTGTTGCCAAGGTATTGATATACTTGGTCGCTTCTGATCATGTCTGTTTCTATATGCAAATTCTCTCTGTTAGCACCCACTACTTACCGTGGCTTTAAACCTTAAACCTGTCCTGGCTTGACTTTTCCGGGACTGTTGCCAATGTCGATGTCAGTCACTGTCACATTTCCGTGCCTAAAGCATCTTAATTGTTCCAATTGCAGATGGCTGCAGTTGCTGCATTGTGTGTGCAATACGAAGCTGATTTCAGACCAAATATGAGCATCGTTGTCAAAGCTCTTCAGCCTCTGTTAAATGCCCGACCTGGACCTGCTGGTGAAACACCAAGCACATAACTTTACGTGTCGCAGTCTTTCCATCTCAATTATGCCTGCGTGCACGAAAGTAATCGCACATTTCAGGCATCCACAATCTGTAACAAGCGGACAGTTTTAGAAGATGATAATTTGCTTATTCAAAGTTCCATATGCTTCCATTGCATACTGGATTCGATTTTGTTCATAATGTGTGAGTTGTTATTTCTGGTTATTGCATATATGTTTAATGGTCTTGTATTTTCTTTTGTCTAGAATTTAATCATAACCTTTCTTCCTTTAACGAAATTGTTAGCTTTTCCATTTCTTTAAAATGAAAATACAAGGTAGTATCTGTTTAAAGATGATTCTTAATCATTTTACGTTGAACGCTAACACCCCTTGCATTTATAGTGTTCGGACCTGAATTCTAAATGAATAACAATAATTCTTTTACCATGGAAGTCATTTGGTTCGTGCATATATTTACCTTAATTTAAATAAACTGATTTCATCATCATTACCCATCTTAATATGGTAAAATAGTTATTTCTTAATAAGAGTGGAAACAGGTTGTTCAAAATCAAATTTAAGACATGGAGTCAATTAAATTTATAAAACAATTAGGTTTAATTGACAATATCTTTTTATATTATGAGTAAATATATAATTTGTTTCCTAAATTCAAATTAAAGGTCCATTTTCTTATCCAATTAGGCCCACGAACTTGACTTCATGGTTCAATTTGGCACTTAATGTTTTTCCTGCGCAATTAAGTACTTGAATTTGGTTTTCGGTTTGCAACTTACTTGAGTTTGGTGTGTGATTTGCAACTTAAACTTTTTTGGTACAATTAGATTCATGAACTTATTTTTTCAGTTCAAATTTGTATTTGAACTTTTTTTTTTGGTTCAAAGTGGTACTTACGGTTTTAAAACAATTAAAAAGGGGTAAATTACACTGTTTCTCACTAAACTATACTCTTTCTCTTATTTTCCTCACCCAACTTTTTGATTAATGAACTTTACAATTGAATCATTTTGTTCACTCGATTGTTTTCTCTCTAATAGTTGATGATGTGATATTTTTTATTATTATTTAATATAAAATAATTAAAATAACAAAATAAAAATAGAAGGTGGTCATTTCACCGTCGACCGCTGTAGATGGTGGTCGTTCAATCATAGAATGAGATGGGTCGCTTTGCCTCAAGACTTTGCGTTCGAATCCGACCTCCATTTTGCCGAAACTTGCTCAGAGTCCATGAATTTGATATTGAAAGTGAGAACACCAAAACATCTTAGTCCAAAATCACGGGGTTTAGGACAATTTTCGGTGAAACAATCACCAGATTCGGACTCAGGGAGTTGAGAAGAACTGACCCATGAAATTTGGGACCGAATGGCCACCATCTACGGCGATTGACGGTGGCCGAAATGAAATTGACGTGGTGCTCAGCATAGAGAAAATAAAGAAGAGAAGGAAAAAGATAAATTACAACACGAGTCTCTGAACTTTACTCTCTATCCTATTTCACTCACCGAAACGATGTCGTTTTGGAGTATATTTGAATTTTTCAAAACGAAACCGTTTTGATGACTGCGTCACACCATAACGTCATTAAATAGTTAATGTCAGAGTGAGCAGAATGATTCAATATGTAAAGTTTAGTGAGCAAATTGATCAAATTGAAAGTTGGGTGAGGAGAATAGGAGAGAGAGTAAAGTTTAGTGAGAAACGATGTAATTTACCCTAAAAATAAAGTTTAAATAGTAATCTAAACAGAAAATTGAAAGTAACGGTGGTGACAAATTGAAAGCACAAGGGGTTAACAAATTGTTTTATACTGATTAAATCATTTTAATCGAACAGAATGAACATTTTGAGCACTTGAAGTAGTGAGTCATAACTAAAAACATGTTTGATTGCTAGTAAACCTCTAGCCCCAGTTATGAAATTAAAGAAAAGAAAAAATTAAGCATAATAATGCCGTCGATTGGGAACAAAATTAACGAGAACAAGAATGGCAGAAGACCCACAGAAGCAGAAGAGAATGGCGGCCGCCGCCTACGATTACGAGAACGATCCGTGATGGGCAGATTATTGGTCCAATATATTGATTCCTCCTCACATGGCATCTCGCTCCGATGTTGTCCATCATTTCAAGCGCAAGTTCTACCAGCGCTATATCGTGTGTTTCTCATCTTTCTTTTCTAATAATTTTTTGAATTTTTGCACTCTGGGTGTTTTTAAGATTATTCTTTTGTTTTTATATGAATTTTTCAATCTGGGGTTCTCCCTGTTTTGTGCTTTTACCCCCTGTTTATTGTGGTGTGTGTTGGTATGTTCAAGAAGCTTGGAATTGAGAATTGGAGCTTTTGGTGTCTGAGTTTTCTTTCTCCTCAAATCTTATTTTGTTAATCTTCATTTTTGGGATTTTTGAATATATAGATGATTTATTAAGCTAGTTATGGGTTTTTCCTGTAAGAGCCATTATAGCTAGTTAAGGAAACAGCTGGAGAAGAAGAAGGAGAAGAATAAATCATGTGGAATTGTGGGAAGTTTGTTTAACTTGTTTACTGGCCCTTTTAATTAATTTCGCCTCCTGAGCTTTTATGAATTTGCCATTGGCTACTGACTGGGAGACATTGGAATATGACCTTTTCGAATCTTCCAGCAGTTGAAAGCCAGCTGAGTTTCTTATCTATTAAACCATTATAATGAACTTGTCACCTTATAACAATGGCTACTTTCTTTTCACCCTTATAAAATGATGATCGGACCGCTTTCCACATCGTATTTTCCCGAACACAACAAGAAGTGGAATTTCAACTGCCTTTGCCAACCCGCATTTGTTTGACTGACTGATTTCTGGTTTTGCAAGATACACATTTGGGCTGTTACATGAAAATTAGTTTTTGGATATTCACTTTTCGAAACAAAAAAACTAGGGGTAAAAAGAAACAATTGAATTTAGTCTTAATTGTTGAGTTTATAAAATGGTCTACATGCTTGAATTTTTTTATAGGGATGCATATCCTATTTCCCTTGATGGAACTTGTCTTATCCTTTAATGTTGTTTATATGCAATTTCTTTCAACTTTGTGGATTTTTATAGCTATATAAATATCTATAACGTTTTAGTGCATTCATCTTCCAATAATATTATAGTATTGTTCCATGAACAACTTGTACCTAATGATTTATGAGATATGTTTCATGAACAGGATCCTGATCTTGTTGTAGAGGCTATGTCATCAGGGTCACCATCCCGATCATCAAAACCATCTGCTTCATCGTCAACCTCATCAGCAGCAAATGACGGAGCTCGGGCACGCAATGCAGGTTCACCGACCTCCACGCCGTCGGCAGCCGCTCCGTCGAAAAAGCAAAGCTATTCGTCAGTATTAACGGATTGGGTCATCAAAAGGTCAAGATTTACGGGAGCTACCAACAAGTGGTGGAGGACCCATCGGTGGACGCAGTGTACATGCCGTTGCCGACTAGCTTGCACGTTCAGTGGGCGGTGATAGCCGCCCGGAACGGCAAGCATGTGCTGGTCGAGAAACCAACGGCTCTTGACGTGGGTGAGCTTGATGGAATTGTCGGAGCTTGTGAATCCAACGGCGTGCAGTTCATGGATGGGTCCATGTGATTGCACCATCCTAGGACTCGTAAAATGAAGGAGATGCTCTTTGATTCCAAGCTTTTGGGAGATGTTAATTACGTAAGTGTTCAAAATTATAATGCATATTTATTTATTTATTTACTTATTATTTGGTTAAAAATAAGATGGTAATTTATCTCTATAATTTTTAATTAGGTATTTATTTTCCGTCAAAAGTCATGCCGGTTCTGATTCTCTGATAAAACCCTAATCCCCTCTCATTTTCCGTCATTTCACTCCCCAATGGAGCACGAAGACCCTCGAAACGGTTAGCTCTCTCACCGCAGCTCCAAAAAATCCAAACTTTCTTCCAATTTCATAACGGAATCCGAAATACAAGACGAGTTCTCTCACCACCAGCCAGGTACCGCTCGAATCAACAACGGTAGCTTCGGTAGCTGCCCCGGATCGGTTCTTGCCGCCCAGCGCCAGTGGCAGCTACGCTTCCTTCGGCAACCCGATGTCTTTTACTTTAATACCCCTCGTGACGGAATTTCTCTCATTGATAACGCCACCACCGCCGCTGCCATCGTCCTCCAACATATCGGTCGTAGTTTCGCCGAGGGAAAGTTCGAGAAAAACGACACCGTTTTAATGCTGCACTGCGCTTTTCAAGCCGTTAAGAAATCAATCCAAGCCTACGTCACGCGCGCTGGTGGCTCCATCGTCGAGGTGAGGCTACCTTTTCCAGTAAAGTCGGAGGAAGAAATCATTTCGGAGTTCAAAAAATCAATAACGGAGGGGAAATCGAACGGTAGAAAGATAAGGTTGGCGATTATTGACCATATTACATCAATGTCATCTGTTGTTATTCCTATAAAAGAATTAGTTAGGGTTTGTAGAGAGGAAGGAATAGAGCAGGTTTTCGTAGATGCCGCTCATGCCATCGGGAGCTTGAAAGTAGATGTTAAAGAAATTGGTGCTGATTTTTATGTTAGCAATTTACATAAATGGTTTTTTTGCCCGCCTTCCGTAGCATTTTTATATTGTAAGAAATCGAATGTATCGTCTGATGTGCATCACCCTGTGGTTTCACATGAATTTGGGAATGGATTGCCGATTGAGAGCTCATGGATTGGGACTAGGGATTACAGTTCTCAGCTAGTGATTCCCACAGTTTTAGAGTTTGTGAATCAGTTTGATGGAGGGATTGATGGGATAATGAAAAGGAACCACGAACAAGTGGTGAAGATGGGGAAGATGTTGGCAGTCTTGGGGGACAAATCTAGGGTCGCCTCCAGATATGTGTGCAGCGATGATTATGATTGGTTTGCCTTCAAGGTTGTGTCTTAACAGTGAGGAGGATGCTGTGAGGTTGAGGTCGCATTTGAGGGGTTGTCATGAGGTTGAAGTTCCGGTCTTTTATCAAATTCCAAAGGATGGGGAGGACAGAGTTAGGGATAAAGATGGGCATATTACAGGATATGTGAGAATCTCTCATCAGGTTTATAATACTTTGGATGACTACAAAAAATTGTGGGATGCTATTAATCGGATAGTTGAGGAAGGTAAAACTTGCGAAATGCTTTGTATAAAATGAAGAGGTAATGTTCCTTGATTTTATTGCATGTTTGCTCGAGTGATTGTTGCTACCCTTTACAGATAATTCAAACCTATATAATGTTGAAACTTAAGACCCAATTAGTATTTCTTGTTATTGATTTATTGTGTTCCTACAGAGAGCCAATCTTATGCTCCAAACTCTAATCACTAGGGGAAGGAACAATATCCATATTTCTTCAATGCCACGATATGGATCCTATGTGAAATTATTGTGATTCTAATTTAATTGCGTTATGATGGAATGCCTAATCTTTTAGAATCATTTCTCTGCAAGATTTTTTGTTCATATCAATATGAATGCCTTTTCTGAAAGCTTAGTTTGCGTACTGCTCGTTCTTATGCTTAATAGTTCTGGAAACTAATATCGATGAGGTGAAAGGGAGACGGATAAAGGGGAACTGGGACAGTTGATTGGAACATAACCTGGTCTACAGACCATGCTTTAGATGCAATAGCACCTTAAACACAAATCTCCCATCAATGTTGGTTGCATTTACTGATTTCGAATATGATCATGTGCATTTTAGATTTGTGTGAAATTTATTTCAACCCGGAAGATTATCGGATGCCGTAATTTTATTGTATTTAATCTTTGGCAGACAGTCATAGAAGATTGGAGCAGCCTTCAATGGAATAACATCCGTGTTTGCCAGTTCTCAGATGCATGTTGCTTCTCATAGTTTTTAAGGAACCAAGAACATGTGGAGAGATCAGATCAGATCAGCAGCAGACATGAAATGGTTGTATGTGCTTTTTGGAACACCACAAAAACCGTTGACCATTGTAGTCTGACATTTTAAGTTCTTGTTGTAGTTACACAATAATGATACGTTTGGTAATAATTTTATTTATTCCTCATGTTTTGATATATAAGTTAGCAATAAGTTAACTTCTCTTAGTAACCTCTAGCTATTGATGGATTCGTCCTCTATCATTGTTTTTACTTAAATTTTCTCAAAACCTTTTAAAGCTTATAAAATTAAACCAATAAACTACCATCTTGAAGGTTTAGGGGTTTTTTCACATATTCGAGTATTTTGGGGGTTTTATTTGAAAATTCATACTGCTAGCAACATTATTTCAAGAAGACAAATAATGTCTCGAAATTAATTTCGGACGGTCATCATGGGAGATTAATGTATTAAAAAACAACATTCAGATGATTTTTTGTTAATTTTGAGAGTTTCGTAAAAAATCAATTAAATCAATTTGAGAAGGAAGAATGAAATGTGTGCACGCTTTGCTATATTTGATGATTAATTCTATTATTGGAGTCAAAATCAAAGTTATTTATTATCATAAATTTTTAAATTTTAATGGTAAAATTAATATAGATACTAGAATTAAGTGATATATAATATAATTGATTTTAAAATTATTTTTTTAATAGAAAGTCGCTAGTTTAACAGTAAATATAAACTATTAGGAAATTTTTCTATAACCATTGACACAAAAACTAGTCACAAATCACGCAAGGAACGTTAGGGATACCTTTCTCCAACTGATCACTATTGAAATGAAGATCTTATTAATTCAATGTTTAACATTCTATTACTATTCTCTCCATTCGACTTTCATCTATAGGACATCAAGATAAACTATATTGGACTGGTGAATTCTCGGGATCTTACTCAATTCGCAACGACTATGAATGGACCAGCTCTAACTAATATTTCACTCTACAACTCAATTTGGAGTATCAATTGCCCCTCTAAAATGAAGATTTTCGCATGGAAGTGCTCCTGGAACTATATACCAACTACGAAAAGCTCTGCTACCAGTGCCCCTCTAAAATGAAAAACAAATTGCCCATCCTCCTTTGTGCTCTCGTTGCAACACTCTCATGCTAGCTATCAGTGCAACTTTGCTAATTAGAACGACGATTGAGGAGTGCTTTTGGATAGAGGATGCTCCTGCATCGGTCCTTTCGTCAACCGTTAATGATCGGCGTTGGATCAATCCTCATTAATTGATTGTTTTTAAGACGTTTTTCGAGGCTTTTATGCCCCCCACCTTCTTTGATTTGAGCTTCAACACTTTTTCCATGACGTTTACTCAACAAAAGTAACTTTGTTTTATCTTTTATTCTACTTTTTCTATGATATTTCTTTGTTTTTAGCATGCTTCTTCGCTTTTTCAGACAATTACTTCCTTTATTTACCTTTTATAATTTGATTTTTTTGGTACCTTTGTCAAAAAAAATCATCCAAATCATGTAAATGCGATTTACATAAATTATATATCTCTTAATATTTTAATATAAATTTTGAATAAAACAACTTAGATTTGGTATTTATCTTTTTCCTTAAATAAAATAATTTAAAATTAATACTTGGAAAATCAAATGTCCAAGAATCGAACATATGATTGAATAAAAAAGTCTATATATCTTTAATTTTTATTTATGTTAATTAAATTAAGTGTGATAGAACCATAATAATGCCGTTAAGTTGATGTTTATTATTTTATGACTTTTTTTTTGAAGTTAATTAGGCCTGTAAACGAACCGAACGCACACGAACGGAGGTATGTTCATGTTCGTTCATTTAATAAATAAGCGAACATAAACGAACACGAACATAAACGAACAAATTTTTTTTTGTTCATGTTCGTTCATTAAGGAATATAGCTTGTTCATGTTCGTTCATTTAATAAATAAACGAACATAAACGAACACGAACATAAACGAACACGAACATAAATGAACACGAACATAAACGAACATAAACGTTGGAGACCCTACCTTCCATTGTTTTTTCATGGAAAATAGTCGACAATGCAATTCAACCAAATCTACAGTGATAATAGCGTAAGAGCTGATTAACAGTGATGAAATGATTGAAGATATCAAATATTTCGATCAATCTTCTTGAAATACAAATAACTTCAATAATATTTGTAACATATTCAACTTGCATTCATGATCAGTCGTTAATTCATCATCCATCCAGATCAAAATCAAACAAATAAAATTATATTAAATTAAAGGAGTTATAACAAAAGATGAAAAATATACTAAATTAGCGAGGTTATACCAATTCATTCATCCTCATTTTCAAGGAAGCTTAACGTGTATGATATCTTCGTTTTGCTACAACAAATCAAAAAACCAAAAATATATTAGTCATCGTAAAACCAAATTCAATAAAACTTAAAACATAAAAATACCTTGTTTTTATTTTTCTCCAACCCATAGTATTGACGATACCAATCAGCTCCACAAACAAGCATATCTACCATCTTAGTTCCTAAAGAGGATCGATGCGGATCAATAACCCTCCCACCAGCACTGAAAGCAGATTCAGAAGCAACAGTAGTGACCGGAATTGCCAATATGTCAGCAGCCATTTTTGACAAAATGTTAAATTTAAGATTGTTCTCCTTCCACCATCCCAAGGCATCAAAATATACACCAGACTCACCAATTAAAACTCCTTCCTCCAAATAAGTGTCCAATTCTGACTTGACAAATGTAAAAGTATCGACACTTCTAATATGTTGGTCATATTTAGCTGTGCCAGTTTTAATACCTTTACCAAACTGACTGAATAAGGAGCTAACACTACTTTTAGAAGTACCACCAATACTAACACTTTGACTCCCATCAGTAGATGAAACAACATTTGCTGCTTTATGAGCCTCAACATATTCTTGGTACAACTCATATAAAATACATCGAACTATTTGCATTTCTCTCGAAGCCTCATCATTTGAATAAATAGTATGGAAAGAAAACTCAAGCAATTTCATTTTATACCTGATAAAGAGAATGACATCAATTAGAACTCAAATAAATTCATTAAAATAAAATTCAAACAACTTAAATTTATACCTGGGATCTAAAATGGCACCAATTGAAATTAACAAGTTACAAGTACCCCAATACTTGTCAAATTTTTTCTTCATCTTCATAGCCATAGCTACCATGTAATCACTTCCTCCTAAAACTACTGCATCCAATGCTTCTTTTATCCCAAACAATTCGCTAAGAAATAAATTGGATGTAGGATATTCGGAACCTATAATATTAAAATAATAATTAGTAGTAAATTCTTTGTATTAAAAATTAATAAAAAGAAATCAAGTTATACCTGAAATGATTTTTGTAGCTTCATTGAAAAGTGCCAAGAATGAGCAAACCTCTTCAACTTTTTTCCAGTCTTCCTCGCTCAGTAAAGTAGTGTATGTAGACTCTCGATCGGCATAATTCACAAACACTTCTTTGAACTCTAAAGCAGTAGACAACATAGCATATGTAGCATTCCACCTGGTACTAACATCTAAAATCAAGTGCTTTTTTGGCATTGAAAGTTGTTTGGCGAGTTCACTAAAAATATGCAATCGACCCGGAGAGGCATTGACATGTTTCACACTCTCACGAACATTATGAATTATGTCTTCAATTTCTCCAAGACCATCCTGAACTAACAAATTAAGAATATGTGCACAACACCGTACATGAAATAATTTTCCACCGACATCAAGTTTCTTCTGAAGATTCAAATTTTCCATCAATTTTCTAGCCACCACATCATTAGTCTTAGCATTGTCCACTGTCAAAGTCACCACCTTTGTCTCAATGTTCCACTCCTTTAGACACTTAAAAAGTGAATCATAGATACATACTCCAGAATACGGTGGAGGCACGTCAACAAAACTTAATATGCGTTTGTGAAGCTTGAAATCAGAATCTACAAAATGGCATGTAACTACCATGTAATGGATGTTTTGATTCGATGTCCACATATCTGTAGTGATGCTCACACGCTTGACAGAATCCAACAATTTTTGAACTCTTTTCTTTCCAATCTCATAACTGGAAATACAATCTTGTTTAACAGAAGCACGTGAGATCTTGTTAAATCCTGGATTTGCTTCTTTCATTACCACATTAAACAGTCCATACTCCACAAAATTAAAAGGTAATTCATGAACCATGATCATATGGGAAATAACCTCTCTCATCTTTGCATTGTCAAACTTCCAATTTCGAACCATAGATGAAGAATCTGATTTGCCAGGCTGCACTTTTAAACTTAATTGACCTCTGTTAACCACTTTCAACTTTGGACACCAATATGCCTATGCAACGGTGTGGTGGTTCCATATTTCATTTTCTTAAACTTTTCTCCACAATGGCTACATTCACACAAGTCAGTTCCATCATGCAACTTTACCATCCGGAAATGTTCCCAAACTCCCGAAGTCTTCTTTCTCTTCTTTCTAGTGAATGGAGTTGGTTCTTCATTGTTGGTTGCATCAACGTGTTCTACACTAGCTGTAGCTGCTGCATCTACTTCTTCGTTATCAGCTGTAATAAAAACATCTGGATTTTGTGTACTTTCCATGGTTGGAGTGTTGGTACTTGATTCAAATTCAGTTGATTCAAGTGGTGAATCAGACATCTGTGGTACAACAATGAGTAAATGTTAGCATTAGCAAATAAAAGGATTTTTTTCTATTATCAAATTAAAACAGTAGCATATCAACTAAAACAGCACAGCTAAATTGATGTAAAGAAAACACAACGGCAATGGAATGAAACCAACTTGCAGTAGCAACCAGAATACTTTCTACGAATCCAAGTAAAATGAAAGCAAAAAAAAATTAATGGATATATGATATATCTATTTTCATATCAACCAGATTAAACATGTTGAGGATCACCGTACAGCGTTCGACATCCAAAACCGGCTTTCAGGCAAGGAGAAGAGGGACAATGAATCATGAATAATCAAATAATAAAACAGTTTTTCCTTCTCTTCCCCCTGAAATGGCGATGAGTTTTACAGAATTGAAATATACGTAAAAGTTGAGAGTTCATACCATTTGAGGAACGGGGAGAAGCAATCCAAAGAGCAAATAAGAGAGAGAGATGATCGAAGAGAAGCAATACAGAGATGAAAACGAGGGGAAAGGCTTTGATTTTTTATGGAATATTACAATGATTTTTAGAGAGAGATGATCAGAGAGAAGCAATACGAGGGCAGTTTCAGGTTTTCAAAATTTCACATTAAACAACAAACATGGAATAAAAATAATGGGTATTTATCTTTTCTCGATTGTTCTTTATTAGTGGATTGGTAAGAAAAGAGGAATTTTTCTTTAAAAAATGCAACTCGTTCGGTAGTGATTGGCCTGTGCATGGCCCTGCATTTCTTTTACCGACATGACATGATAGCAAAGACGACTAAGGAAAGTAAAGTCTTCACACTTCACTTTTTTGAAATGTCAAAAAGGAGAGTAATTGGCACTTTCCAAAACGAAAGGTGATTCACTCAGTAGAAACGAATAAACATTTGCTCTCACACTGTCCTTGAAGCTTCAATAATTGCGTTTGATTACATTTAAGCAGGGAGTGTCAATTATTTGCAATATTAAGCGGGAAAACAAATGAAAATCACTTTGAAGGTAACCTCACTACTTGGTCCTGTTTCGATCCAGACATCACAACCATATCCTAATATGTATATTATTAGCGAATGTTAATGAAGGAAAATTGGTTATCAAAATATCATATTAATTAATATTTTTAAAATACATACAAATTAGTCACCAAAAATGATTTAAGAATATTATGTTAAACATAAATGAACGCACATAAACGAACATAACTGAACGCATATAAACGAACATAACCGAACGTTCATGAACGTAAATGAACGAACGAGACCTATGTTCATGTTCGTTCATTTAATTAAACGAACACAAAATCTTGTTCATGTTCGTTCATTTAATAAATAAACGCACATAAACGAACTTCCCGCCGCACGGTTCATGAACGGTTCGCTGAACGTTCAGTTCATTTACAGGCCTAAAAGTTAATTGTATCATAATCTATAAATATCATTTTAAATTAGTCTCTAAACTTTTAAACTATGGCTATCGTTTTAAATTAGTCTTCAAACTTTTGAATATTTTATTTCTATCCCTAAACTGTGATCTTCATTCTAAATTGGTCCTAAACTTTTTGAATATTTCAATTTTATCCTAAATTATATGTATATATTAATCACATCTCTTGTTAATAAAATCATTATGCCAAGTTATATTATTACATGTTTGAGAAAAAAAAATTAGGTTAAACTATGGTTGACATAGATTACATATTTGGATGAATTTTGGGATGGAATTGGAAGATCTAAAAGTTTAGGAACCAATTTCATTTGGGTATAAAACTGAATGGTCAAAAAGGTTATTATATCGTAAATATCTGTAGGCGCCATTCTCCTATGGAGAAGCTTTGGAAACACAAAGTCGGATCAAATCAAGGTAAATCAGGAGGTGCAGTGATTTTGAATTTGTGTGGGGTTGGAGCTCTGGAATTTGAAAATGGCAGACGAATCGTCGCATTCAATCAAGTTGATGAACTTCGTCTCCGAACAACATGTAGCTTTATTTTTACCAATTTCTCATCCAATCCATTACTAAACGCTAATCTGGTTTCGTTGGTTATGATCAAGATCTCGTTGTTTGGTGTTGATTATTGCCTGGCTTCGATAATTATGGCAGTTAGATGAAGCTAAAAGAACTAGAGGTGAACGGATTGAAGATGGAACTGCTCAGAGGGATAGGCCCTTGTACGAGGTTTTTTTTTATATCCTGCTCTAATGAATTCGCTCTTTCTCCCCCCTTTTTTTTATTTTCTCCAATGAAGCTCAAACAATTAATCGTTTTCTCTGAACCATTTAAATGCAGATTTTGAAAGAAAATAAAGACAAGAAAGATGCAGAGTTTAATGAACGGTTTAAACATAGTGAGTGTCTAACTTTTCAGATTGCTGTTATTTGATGATGTAACTATCTATGAGCCAAACACTTTCTTCATTTGCAGGGCCACCCAAAGCTCTGGATGAAGACGAAACTGAGTTTCTTGATAAGTTGGAGACGGTGAGAATACTTTAATGAATACTGTGGAAACTGTTGGCATTAGATACGTATGTTTGTTCTCTTTTGCAGTGATTAAAATTGTTTTTCTCCTTTTGGTTGCAGTATTTCTTCTTTATATTTATCAGAATGTCGAAAAAATTGGTAGTTTCACCAAGTGTAAGAGGCTTATAATGTGTGTGTTCGTATACGCCCCCCCCCACCCACACACACATGTACATGTTCACAAATATAAATATTCTATTAGGTGCTACCATTCCTGAATAGCTGAGTGTTATGTTGTTATGCTTTTCAATTTCTGATTTTCTTTTTCCTTGCTAATGTAGTCGAGAAGGGAATATGAACGGCAAGTAGCAGATGAGGAGGCTGAACAATTGCGAAGTTTCCAAGTAATTTTCTACACAGTAACATTTGTGATTTATCGCTATGAAAATAGTATTAGAAACGAAGTATCTGCAACCAGGTTGTGCTTGACTGATCTGGCCTTTACCACCACCTTAATAATTTGAAGTCCATTGTCTTATTTTGAGTTCTCAGTTACTTATATTAATTTTAATGGTAGAACTGCTGATTTATAGTTATATTGAATTTACAAAAATAATTGTTTGATTCTTAAAGACCAGTTATTTGTATTATATTTCAAATACAGCATATTCAACAGAGGAATTCTGCAATTATATATGTTCTTTAATCTTAGATTCAAGAATCCATAGGCTTACAAACTGCTTGTTTTCCATCCGGAGGATCGGTAAAGACTGAATATTTGATGTGGATAGTCATTTAAAAATTATTTTCGTGATTTATGCTGTGCATTGTTTGTTTAAGGTGCTAAGTTGTAGTCTCTGAGAATCACGAAGGGTCAGATATTATTAGTTTTCTAATAGCTGTTACTATAGCAGCAATCTTCTGCTACCATCTTGCTAGATGAAAAGTTTCTTGAGCAACGTTTGAATAGTTGTGTTACTTGTTTAGCTTAGCCATATGGATTTTTGTAGAACCATTTCCAATGTTGTTTTACATTTATTTCATCCGAGACACCAGTGTTTGTTTCCTTTTCAGGCAGCTGTTGCAGCACAGTCGAATATCGTGCTTGTAAAAGAAACACCGTCAGTTCTTGCAAGCCAGGTTGGTTTCAGATAAATTAGTAACATGGTTGCACTTTTTATAAAGAACTTTATGGGTTGGTTCATTACCACACCTTGAATTGACAGAGCTTTTACCATGCCATATGGTTCGGTAATTAGTTTTGGCGTATTTTCAAATTTCATTTCCATTTAATCTAGTTGATTGCATCCTTTGTTTCTTATGACATTAAGTTTACCTTTTGCATCTTTGCCTGAAATAAATAACAAGTGCATCTTCTGATTGATTAATCACCTAGTGAAACCGGTAACAATGGAGGTCCATAACCAAGTTATTAGCCTCTGCAGCTTTTAAACCGCTCTTGTTTCTGCTTGCAGGAGCAAAATTAGCCGGGAAGAAGAATCCAGCGGCTTGGCCTCTTGGCATGATCATAAAAGTGAAGCCACAGGCAAAAAGGGCAAAAAACGAGCCTGGTGAAAAACTAGTAAAAGCACCCGGCGCTGATAACGTGAAGTCAGCCGAAGGTGATCCCGATAAGTCTCTTAATGTTGCCAAGATAGATCTTGTTTCATACAGTGATGAAAGTGAAGATGATTAGGAACTGAGCATGCCAATCTTGTAAATCGTCACTGTAATGGTTTTAAATCCAAATTATTATGCATCGAGTTGGTATTATTAGTTAATCAAATGTTAATTCAGTTGGAAAAAGATTTAATTTTTTAATTGGTATTTACTTAATCAAATGTTGATTCAGTTGTATTATTAGTTAAGGACAAAACAATTTATTTCAGTTTAATGATTCATTATTGTTATGTCATATTTAGGTTAATTTGACAATGAAAAAAGAGTCATAAGAAATGAAATAAAGGTTAAAGGTTAAAACGACTAAATTAATAAGTTGGAGGACTAAAAAAATTATTTTACTTATATTTTTGTTACATAAAATTCATTCAAATCACGGGTGCGATAAATAATCTTGATATACTTTTGAAACATTATCATAAATGTTTTTTGATAAATTTTATTAAATTTAAATAGATTTTTCAACAAAAATCATCAATATACAATTTATTTATCTCTCGTTAACAATGCATGTGTTGAGAATGGACAAAAAACTTCAGCTTTGATATGAAATTTAAATAATTTCTATATTTCAAAAGTATATTTTTATTTAAATTTAAAATATATATTTTATTGAAATAACAATAACAATCAAAGAAAGAGTTTCTTTTATTTAATTTTCTTTTTCTCTCTGTGAAAGCATAGGGTAAAGGTTTAATTTGTTATGGCCTTTGGGCTTTTATACAGCACCTAAAAGCACAGAGCCACAGAGCAAATGCACAAAGGTTCAAAGGCTGGCTTGCACGCCTATCACTCGCCATTGCACGGTTTACACCATTTCTCTCTCTCAGATTTGTTTTAATTTTTTCATTCAC